AGGGGCGTTTGAAGCAGGAGTGAAATGCAACATCGAAGTCGCACTCGAGCGCAAGTGGGGTTGCCACACCTTGCGATGTGTGTACCAGGGCCCCAGGAAGCCTTAGGAGGCCCGACTTGGATACCAGAACAGGCTCCAGGAGGCCCCAGGATTGTGAGTGTTGTGCGTGTGTGTGTGTGTTTGTGATGTATGCTTCGTGTGGTGCGTGCTTTTTGTGTGTTGTAGGTGTTGTGTGTGTGCACACATATATATTATAGATATATTAGTAGTGTGGATCTCATGGTTGGGTCCGTATAGATGTCGCGGTTCCCAGACCCCCTCGCGTCGCGAAGCAGAACACGACGGAAGGTGTTCCGCTCTTCTCGGCCTGCTTTGGCCTTTTACCGTGCCTCGGGGCCATCGAAAAAATTCGGGACGAAAAGCTGGAAACCGAGAAGAGGTCCATACCTCTTGAGGTCCACATCATGAAAGAGACACGACGTCGGGAGGATGGGCTGCGGCCGCGAGATCTCCAAGATGTCAAGGCTCCCTCGAGTTTCTTTCAATATTTCCCTTCGTCCGCGCACACATCCCCAGCCACGATGCGATACAGCCAAGACGTTGAAATGAGGTCCATTTTGGACTCAGGAGTGTCTCTGGCTGTCGGGCCGTCTTTCGATTCAGGTCGGGGAGCCCACTTGCGGCCGAGGCTCGCCGTGGCCATACAAGCCCCCTCGTTCCTTACTCAGCGTTCCTTGTGACCGAGCTAGACCACACGGGGACCCGGACCTTACATCCAAAACATGACATGGACACGTATCACAGTATGAGTTATTATGTGCGCCCCGTTCGGTGTCTGAGCTGTTCGAGGTCAGGGCATCGCGTTGCGCGCGCAGGTTTGCGCTTCTGGCGCGGCACGTGTTGTTGATGAGTGCGCCCACAGTGTGCGCGTCAAACTTTTCGTTGATCATTGCGTTTCTGACACTTGGTTGCACGGCCCGCTCCTCGCCACCTACACGGCGCCTCGCAGACTGCGTGTCGACGGCGCCTTCGGCAGCCCAACCTGCGGGGTTCTCCTTGTCTGCGCCCCGGCCGTCTTCGCGCTCAGTGTCACGGCGCGGCCGCGGTGCCAGCGCGCGGGGCGAGTGGGCGACGGATTGAAGCGGCGCTTGCATGTCGACGACCTGATGTTGCGGGCGCGCGGGGGCCCAGGCGCCGCTGCCGAGGCGGTCGCAGAGGCCCCGTGGGCCACGCGGGCGCGCCAGGCAGACATGGATGGGCGGCTGCACGAGGTCAAGAGCAAGCAGTTCGCCAACTTGGTCTCTGTCCGGCGGTGGCTCCAGAACCGATGCCGTCGATCTTTGCTGGGATTGAAATCCGCGACCTCGGGGTCGTCGCGGTCGCTGGCGCAAGCGCCCCGCGGCCGCGGCGCGGGCGCAGTTGGCCTGCGGCCGCCTCGCGCGCATCCGCCGCCTGCTTGTGCCTTTCCGCTGGCGGTGTCTGATGGGGGCGCCCACTGGCACGGCCGCGGGCGCCCGCGGCTCCTCTTGCGGCCGCCCAGCCGCGAGCCAGCTGGAGCGGCTGCGCCGCGCTGCCAAGGCTGCCGCCGGCCATGGGCCCCGGGCTGCCGCCGAGATCGTTTTCGGCGTGCTCAGCCCCGCGTGGCGCCTCGACCCCAAGGCTGCCGCGGTCGTCGCGCCGGCGCTACAGGCTGCGCGGGCGCTTCGGGCCGGCCAGCTCGACCTCGCCGTGTGGCGCAGCACCTCGGCGGCAGTCCGCGCCGGGGCTGGGCGCGCCATCGGGCCGGTGGCCGCAGCCTTGCGCAGCTTGCGCGTCTTGGGCCTGGGCGACGACGTGGAGAGCTGGGCGGGCGCGCCGTCTGCGCCGCACGGCTGGCGCCCTGCAGAGCGGTCGCGGAGTGCTGCAAGATCGCGTCTCGCCGACCGATCGTCGATCGGTGGCGTGGACAGGCGAGCGACGCGCCGCCTGCTTGCCAACGACGCCGTGGCGCCCGAGGCCGCCGGCGCCCTCGGCAGCGTCATGGGCGGCAGCGTCGTCACCGAGGCCATCGCGGCGAAGTGGAACGGCGGGCCCAGCGCTTCGCGCTGCAGGCTTACCCCCGAGGACCTCGAGCACCTTCCCCTCCGGCTGTGCCCAGCGCGGGAGGGCCCCCGCCGCGCCGCGCAGGCCGCGGCGCCGCGGGCCGAGACGCCGCCCAGTGACGCCAGGGATCTGTGGCAGCCGCTGCCGGCCGGGGTCGCCTCCGCGCGGCCCTCGCGACGCCGCCGCATCTCGCCGACCTTGCAGAGGCAGCGGGGAGCGCGTGCCCGCAGCTTCCGCCCCAGGCCGCGCTGCTCCCAGACGCGCCCCGCCGGGCGGTGTGGAGCGACGGGGCCTGCCCCCACCCTGCCGACCCGCTGCTGGCGCGCGCGGCGCGGGGCCTGCGGCGCGAGGGGCGGCGCGAGGGCCCCGGGGGCCCGAATCTCGCCGGACTTGTCGACGGTCTGCAGACTCAGACTGCTCAGGGGGCCGAGGTGGCAGCCGCCGCGGCAGCGGCCCGACTCGTCGGGGGCCCCGTCGACCTCGCCTCGGACAGCCAATGCGTCGTGCGGCCTTGCACCCAGGTCGTGCTGGCTCCGACGTGCGCGACTGGGAGCGCGCCGACTCGCGGCCGCCGCTGGCCGACGCCGTCCCCGCCGGGCGGCGGCGGGCCCGTTGGGTTACCAGCACAAGACGCCGGCTGAGGCGCGGCGCCTGGGCCTGAGCGAGCCCGACCGCCTCGGCAACGCCGCGGCTGACAGCAACGCCGGCGCCGCGGCGGCGCGGCGGGCCGCGCAGAGCGAGCTGGCGCGCGCCCGCCTCAGGGAGCTGGAATTGCTGGAGGCGACGCAGCGGGCGCCTTGGCCGCCGCGCCTGCGCGCCCGCGCCGCGGCCGGCGCATCTGGCGAGCGGTACGCCGCGGGGCTCGCGCTCGCACGGTGTCCGCCCCAGCGGGGCCCGCCCTGCCCGGCCGCGCCCGCGCGGCGCCGCTAGCGGCCCAGCCGCGCTGGAGTCGCCGCGCCGAGCCCGTCAGCGCCGGCGCCATGCTGGGGGCTTTTTTCGCGGGGCGTTGGGGTTTTTTTTCGTGGGGCGTTCCTAGTCCTAGGGGCCCAGCCGCGTCTGTTGCCACTGCCGTGGTGACAGCGCCGAGGCCGCGGCGGCCACGCTGGGGGGCGCGTGCCCTGGGTGGCAGGAGCAGCTGCCAGCGCGAGGGCAGGCGCTGCGGCCCCTCGGCACCTTGCGCATTGTTGGGGGCAACGCAGCAGAATTCGCCGCTGTGGCTGCGCGCCGCATCGCGCAGCTACCAAAGGTTACCGACTGAGCCGTGCGCCGCCCTGGGCCCCTGCGGCTGCGCATGCTGCCCGAGCGCGCCCGTCAGAAAAAAGGTAGTCGCGTTGGGGGCGGGGGAGAGGATGATGATGACAGCGGCAGTTGTCGGGGCGATGGCGCCGGCGGGTTGCGGCGGCGATGCCGGCGGGCGCGGCGGTGAGGGGCGTTGGAAAGGCGATGGCGGCGAGGGTGGGGGTGGTGGACCTCGTCGCTGGACCGCCGCGGTTGCAGTGGGAGCGGGGGCGGTGGCGGTGGCGCCGGCGGTGGGAACTCTGGCGGTGGTAGGTCGCGATGGTGGCGGCGGTTGTGGAAGTGGCGTTGGTGGCGGGAGCGGGGTGGCGGCGGGCGCGGGGGCGGCGACGGTAGCGCCGTTGGCGGAGGCGGCGGGGGAGGTGGGCGTGAAAATGGTGGCAGAGGCCGTCGCTGCGGGGGCGCAGCCCCGATGCGCGTAAGCAGGCGCTCGCGGGCAATCATTAACGCCCGCGCGTGCTCACCGCCAAGCCAAGCTTACCACGGGTGCCCGCGCGCGTCCGCGCGCGCTCGCAGCCGCCGCCGCGGGCCCCAGGCGCTCGCAGGGGTCTGGGAGTTGGCGGGGGCCCGCGACGTCGCATTTTCAGAGACTTGGGAGCGCGCGCGGACGTTTCTCTTATGGAGCGGCGTCGCAGGCGAGGGGCCCGAGATCGCGCCCTCGACGCCCGCGCCCGCGTCGGGGTCGCCATCCCCACGGGCGGAGGACGCGCGGCGACCGCATGTTGACCTTCACCGCGCTCTGCGGGCAAACCGGATGCAGTTCTAGGCCACGGGGGGCGCGCGTGATCAGCGCACCCTGTCGCGCGCTGTGCTTGCCGGCGTCGCCGCGATTCGCCGTTGTGCTTGCGTCTGCGCTCTGCGCGGCAGATGTGCGGACGCGCCGACGCGATCACGAAACAGTATAGATCGCGTCGCGGCGAGAGATTCGCTAGATTTGGGAGACGACAAGCGGGGCCCAGTATGTTTCAACGCCGCAACCTCCGACGCGCGCCCAGGTCGTCCGCGCTGCGCGCCAGGATGCCGTTCGCGTCAACGGCGCAGCCTAGCGCCACGTGAACCTTGCGCTGGCTGCGCGCACGCGCTGGTCGCGAGCGCCGCGCGTTCGTGCGTGTATCGGGCCGCGTTTTTGCAGCTGGCCTTCTGCGGCTGTTGCCCGCGCTGCCGCGAAGGCCAGCGGCGCGCGGCCGCAGGGTTGGCGCCCCCGCACCGTAGGGGAACGATGCACTGTGACGTGCAAGGTTTTTTACGTGGGTCCCGGGTCCCAGTGTGTTTTGTCTCGGTCACGCAGTGGTAGCACGATGACTGCCCAGACATGCGCTGTCTCGTTGTTTTGTTTTTTGCTTCACTGCGCGGTCCCCCGAAGTGTCCCCAGGGCCCGTCTTTCATCCCGAGCCGTTGTTTGAAAGCCCCGCGGCCCGGCGAGGGCCCCCTGGAGGCCGAAAGCGGCCTAAAACGTCGCTTCGTGATCGTTTTGTCCGCGACGCGGGCACATCTGGGATGCATAGCCCCCGTGTTTCCTGGCCCCCCTAGGTTCTTCGGCGCACTCTCGCCTACAGGAGGGCGGGCCGCCCGCGGCCAGAGACGCGGCGCCCGCGGCGGGCGCGGAGCTGGACAGGGCCGCCATGCGGGCACAGATGGTGCGCGACGGCTACGTCAAGCTGCCGCGGGCGGGCTGGGACACCAGGGGCAACCTTCCAGGAGGGTCTCTGATGCCTTCGAGGCCCAGGGTGGTCTCCGTCAGCTGCGCCTCGGCGAGAGCGTTCCGGGGTCCAGGGGTGCCAGAAACGTGACGAACGGCTGCCCCGAAGGCCAGACGACGAGGATCACGGGGGTCGATGCCCATGGGGGGAACGTCGACCCCCAGTCGCCTTTGGATCGCCGAGAGGGGCCTGACAGTTCACCCCGCCCAGGAGCGTGCGGTATCGCAATCGGGGGCCTGTCGCCGATCTATCGGCGAGGTGTGCCGATTCTATTTCGATAGTTTCCTCCTCCCTTGGGCCGATCCCCCCCACGTTCCTCCTCAGGACGACGCGCCTAGCGACCCCGACAGGCTGGACGCGCTGGTGAGCATCATCGACCGGCTGGAGGCGGAGGGCCTTCCGCCGCAGTTCATGCTCGTGTACGACGAGGTGTCAGGGCTCGATCTGGGAACCAGGACATTTTGCAAGCCAGCATTCTGAACCATCCAGCGTAAACTACTTCAAAAGTCCAGGGGAATCGAACATACCGATGCTGCTGCCCTTCCGTCGTCGCCACGGCTAGGTTCGCCTCGCACCCCGGGAGAGGTCTGGAGAGCAGCGGTGTCGGCTCCGTGCTCCCCCCGGCTACTGTCCCGACCCACGGCTTCAGTTTGTCCTCGCGTGCGCGCAGAACCAACAAAAAAACAATGCTGTTCTGCTGGTGGGGGCCCCCGTCTCGTCCTGGGGCCCCGAGAGGTGTGGGAGGTCGTCAACGCGGTCGGCAGCGCGCTGCGCCCCGTCTACGGCCTCCAGAACGTGATGGACTTCTCGGAGGAGGGCCCGCCGAGACCGACGGCGGCTCTCCCGCCTGGCCCGCCTCTTCTCGAGGCGCACCTGGCCGCGGCGGCCAGACGCCTCCGGGAGGGCCGAGACTTGGCACCGCTCGAGCGTGCGCACTCTTGCGAGGACCATCGAGGAGCATCGGGGATCATCTGAAGCCTAGCGAGGAGCATCGAGGAGCATCGAGGATCGAGGGGCATCGAGGAGCCTAATGAGGGGCACCGAGGATCATCGAGGACAATCGAGGAGCATCGAGGAGCATCTTGAACACGCCCGAAACCTAAAAATGCACGGGGAATGGACGTCCGAGCGACGGCGAGAAGAATGGCAAGCAACGGCAGGCATCGGCAGGGAGAGCTGCCGCTGCCGTGAGGCCCTCCTCCGAACTTCTACGTGTTCAACGTCCGGCCCGGGAGGAGCGGCTGGCTGCTGCACCGCGACCGTCCCAGCGGCCGGCCCGGCTTCGCGGCGGACGGCCTGCCCGAATACACGACGGTGTGGGTGGCCCTGACCGACGCCAGCCCAGAGACGAGCTGCATCTACGTGCTCCCAGCTGGTAAGGCTTCGGGCTGCGCGCAGGTAGCCCCCGCAGGCAGCCCCGGCTGGCCCCAAGAGGCCCCCCGAGTCTCCGAGTAGTCTGGGGCGACCTCAACACCCTGGGGCCGCCTCCGGCGGCGCCCCTGGGGCGCTCCGCGTCCCAAGGTTGGGGTGCTGAAGCCGCCCTGGGCCACTCGGGGGGCCGGTTGAGGCCAGACGCGCAGCCCGAAGCCTTACCACTCCCAGCCTTCTCCGATCCGGAGTACAAGGCGATGCGCGGCTCGAAGTACGACGCCCCCGTCGCGTCCCACTTCCTGAACTGTGTGCGCGCCCTGCCCGTGCAGCGGGGCACGGTGCTGGCGTGGTCTCACAGGATCTTGCACTGGGGCTCCGCCTCGCCCGTGGAGGCGCCAGAGGCTAGGAAGACGCTCACCTTCGCGATGGCGGCGCCGGCGTACGAGAAGCCGCTGATCGAGCTGGGGGACGGGGAGCTGCCGCCCTTCGGCGCGCGGCTGGCGCTGGTGGCCTACACCCTCGTGTGCTACCACCACAGCGCCCCGGTGACGCCAGAGATGCAGCGGGACCTGGTGGAGGTTCAGTGGCTCCCAAGCAGTGCGCTAGCCCACACGGTGCGGTGCGTCTGTGGAGAGTCGCACGGTTTTGGAACCGGGCTCCTGTTCTGAGGACGTATCGGGCGATTGGGGCCTGCACGGTCCCAGCACCGTTCGGTAGCCGACCCGGAGAGGTGTTCTCATCCTGAGTCGGTTTTGGACGGTCCCGAGGCCCGGTAAGGGCCCCCCAGAGACTGAACATCGGGAAAACCTCCCGTCGTGTTTTTTTAGTGCTCGAGGGAGGCCTGGGGTTTCCGAGGTCACCGCACGGCCCGTCACCGCGCCGCTTGGGGGGCCCCGCAGAGGTACTCCGGCGGCACTCGCACCACCTGACCCCGGCCGCGCTGCTCCAGGCCACCGGCGAGTCCTTCTTCAAGAGCCTTGCGGCCTTCTGCAGGTCGAGCGAGAGCCAGCAGGCTGCCAGGATCGAGGAGCTCGGCGCACAGGAGAGAGCGTTTTTCACCCTGTGGGCCATAACGCGCGGTATGTCCCCCTCTCCCCCCCCCCAATCTAGCGTTCCACCCCGCCCCGCGCGTCCGCGGCACTGCCGCAGTGCATCCGGCACCCAAGTCTGGCACGGTGGGGGGCGGGGGCGTTACGTCATGGCCCTCACCCCCGCCCGTCATGGACGTTTCACACGTTTGAGTAGAAGATCTTCCAGTCGAGGCCACGGCCTCCACGCCATGCCTCAATGGGCACGGGCGAGCTCCCCAGAGGAGCACGCACGGCTCCAGCGTTCGTTCTTTCCCCCCGCCTGCCCCCCGCCTCTCCCCCCTCCCCGTAGCGCCCGCAGCTGCCGCGAATGCAAAAATGCCCTGCAGATGCTGGGGCGCCTCGGCATGAAGAGCGACTGGTGGGCCCTCGAGTGCTCGGGGCCGGCCCGCTGATGGGACCTTCCCGCGGCGGGCGGGCGTAGGACACTCTCCTCTGCGGCGTGGCGGCCCCGCGTTCGGGACGAGGAAAGGCGGCCCCTCGCCTCTCTGCGGGCTCCGAAAAGGAAAAGACTCGGCCAGGCGAAACTCGGCCAGGCCGAAGTCGGCCAGTTGAGCTCGGCCAGGCTGAGCTCGGCCCGGGCCGAATTATTGACGCCTCGCGTAATTATCCCCACCAGCCTGACTTGCGACGCCGCAGGCGCCTTCGCCTGCGGCTGCGACGGAGAAGATCCCCACCAGCCCCCCCTTGTTTGCTCTTGTCTCTCTTCGCCTTCCTCTTCCCGTGCGCTAATTTCGGCCGTCGCCCCTGTGCTTCGCCCCTTGACGCCGCCCGACCTTCTCGCCGCGGTCGCGATCAACAAAAATATCCCCACCAGCCAGTTACTGACTGTCCAAAGTGCGTGGTCGCTCTCCCACACCGTAGCTGCATCACTAGTGTCACCTCAATGGGCACGCCATGCGTTACCTGGTACCGCAGTTTTGGTCGACGTGACTCGGATGCTGTCTTGTGGCGCCTCCCGCGCCATTTTGGCTGCGTTGATCCATGTTCCGCCCCGGGCCGGGCGCAGCTCGCTTCGCTGTTTTCCGTTTTGCTTCGGCGCGGCCCGCCCCAGTGATGTCGTGTCCCACTCCTCCTCCCTCCTCTATGTGTCTGGCATAGCCTTTTAGGTTTGGCGTCCGCCATGCGACAGACACAGGTGTTCTGGCCACTTTTCGGGCGCGTTGCAGAGATAAACTGATGCCCACCTCCTCTCCATATCCTTCCTAATTTGAATTGTAGCCAGAGCGTGGATCCAGAAGGAGGCAGGCTGCAGTCGCTAGCGCAGTTGCTCCAGGAGACGAGCCAGGATCGTGTGTGTCTGCGTCTTAGGGCGCTGCATGAGGGAGCACAGCAAAGACTATGAACCACCAGCTGAAGTTAGGGATGGACAGGACTGGGGGGAGACCTGGTGGGATAGCTGGTGGGATCGTGCCACGGACTGGTGGGTGACACCAGACTGGGCGTCCGGCTGGGCGCCAACGAAGAGCTCACCGGAGAGGGGTCGCGATTTTTCGGCTCCCCCCCCAGTTTTTTGGGATGGAACACCTCGGGGTCTATCTGTCGAACCTGCGATCGTGGTCCAAGAGGACAGTTTTTCTGTCTGAAACCCGAGCGGCGAAGGTGTTGGAATCTGATCCAGTTGAACAGCAGGGTATTTTTCGAGGGATCCGGGAGCGTCTATACGATGAAAAGGGCATTCAGGCACTGATCGACCACCTGAAACTGCTGAGTGAAGAAAGACCTGGGGACCAAGAGCGCAATGCCCATCACGCTGTTCTTTTCGACCGCAGCATCCGCAACGGAGAATCGCTGACGGCTGACGGATTTCGTAGTAAGACGCGATGCGCAATTGTCTCGTGCTCAGTCTTTCGGTCTCGAAGGTCTCGAACTTCCAGGTCCAGCGATTGCAAGGCTTCTCGAGGAAGGTTCCCAGATCACGGGCCAGGTGAAGGTCAACCTCAGGACATTGATGGGCAGCGATCTGTCAAGTCGGTCGGCGAGGAGCGCGTTGTTGAAGTTAGACGTTCCTGACAAGTCCATTCTTCCAAAACAGCAGGCGTCAGGAAGCATGAGTTTTCGGGTGTCCAATGACAGCTAGGAAGAGGTCAACATATATGAGGTTGAGTTCTCGGATGAAGAAGTGGCTGAGTTTCTCACGAGTCTCGAAGGTCAAGATGCGCGCGAAGACGAGGCGTTCCATGTGGTCGCAGAACTGGCCGACAACAAGAAGAAACGCAATAGGAAATACTCACGTCAACCCAAAGCAGCTCGAAATGTAGACCGTGACTTTTCCGATCGCAAACGTGCTGCGGGGGCCAGGCGGAATATCAGTAAGGACGACCCGAATCGCAGACTTCGGCGTGCGAGTTGCGGTGAGGAAAGGTCATTGGCGCGAGGGCTGCAAAAGGCCGCGCCGCTCCAAGGCAGACAGGATCCGAGCAGAAGGTGGCAGTTCGGCTTCGAGAGGGGCGGCGCAGGCGGGGCCACCATTCAACTCCGACGACGGGCACTTCTTCTCGTTCGACGCGCTCGGATCCTCATATTCTCCGAGCTGGGCCAACTTCTCGGAGCAATCAGGTGTCGAAGCAGAAGGGTTCTTGGGCGTTCAACTCAAGGAGATGGAGGATCGCGGTTCAGTTGACGCGGCGGCGGCCCAATACGGAGTTCTCAAGCGCATCGATTGCGCGGGGGGCGAGCTCAGCGAAGTCGAGAAAAGGTTGCTGAATGAGGGCGGCTACCTCTTGACTCCTGCGGCCCGTCGCTGGCGGAGACGGGCGCTCGCCTTGCTCGCGATGCCGAGGCGGTGGGCGTAGTCTCGTTTGCTGGCCGCTCTGGCCCCGGGGCTTGGCGGAGGAACCAGGCTGAAGGTCAAGGAGGAGGATTGCGACCGCCCGGCGATGTCCGGATCGAGCCCAGCGCGCTTGGCGGGTCAACTGTCGCACGCGCGGGGCCCGCCCGCGCACGCGCGAGCCGGCGGTGGAGGAGAAGCAGCAGATCAAGATCGAGAAGGAGAACGCCAGGAGCGAGTACGTTCGAGCCAAGCAGGAGCAGAAGGAGGTCAGGATGGCGATTCAGGTAAGGAGCAGCGACTACCTGCAGAGCGTCGAGCCGAGCGAGAGACCTCCGCGCTCTCCGGGTTCCTCCTCCAGCGCCCCGCCGCTCTGAAGATGAAGGCGAGGCCGACGCTCGATATGGCCCCCGCGAGGCCCCCGCCCGAGCAGATCACCGCTCGCAAGAGCCCTCCGACAGCCAGGGTATTCGATGAAGGGGGAGTTCGAAGCACTCCTGAAGAACCAGCAGGAGAACCGAGCAGAGATCTCATAGTCTCACAGTGGATTTTCGAACGGCGCCGCGAGTCGGAGATCGCGAGGGCCCAGCTCTGGGGGCCGATGGAGATGATGCGAGGCAGCTTCCCCGGAGCAGCCAGCAGCCAGAACGCCCCAGACACCAGGGTAAAGACCGAGGCGATCAGCGACGAGGACTAGGCGAGTCGTTCGCCGAGAGCGGGATCGACCAGCTCAGAGGCGATCCGGGCACCTCCACGTCCACGAAGAGCTCCGTCTGCAGACGAGAGCCACTCCATATCGCGGCCGACCGAGGCGGCCAGCGCACTGCCAGGAAAAAGAGTCTGTCCATCCTTCTCCATCGTCCATCACCTCCTCCTCCAAATTGGCCGTTTCGGATTGACCTCGGGGGCGTCAAGAGGATTTCAGGGGCGCGTTTCCCAAGGGAATGGATCCGGGGACGTGGGCCGCGAAACGGCTTCGGTTTCTGAATTCCAAGGGTAGTCATCTGAGGGGGGGATCTCAGACGATCGACTCGCGGCTGCGGGGCCTCGATTCCGGGGGGGCCATCGCCCGAAGAGGTTTCGCTAGGGGCCAACTGGGGCGAGAAGCATTTGAATATTTCGGAGATCCCGGAGACCAGGAGCCCCATGGCCCACCTTGCGACGAGGGCCCAGGGGGACGGCGATGCCATGTCCAGGAATTCGTCGACTAAGGGCTGCGTCAAGCAACTCTAGACGGACCACGACGGCGGGCGACCCCTCGTGGGCAGGGGCCTCGGCTTTGAATCTAGCTGAACGGCTGCAGGGCTCGATGGGCTCGGACGTCGACGTCTCCATCTGGATTTCGGCTGGGGCCCCAGACTCGCTTCCTAAGGGCTGGGCTCTCCCAGGCAAGCGCCCCCTCCTTAGTCGGGCCCTAGACTAGACTAATTCTCGACCTCGGCCCCCAGCAAGGGGTAGGCGCGCTTTGGTCTTTGCAGGGTCACGGGGTGGGAGCCCCCGAGAAGAAGCCACGGCGAACGCTAGCTCGAGAGCTCCCACGACAAGGGCGAACGCTTCTACGGGAGTTTGTCCTCCGCCAAGGGTGGCTCCCGAGATGGGGGTCCCCGGGGGTGCCTGTGCTCTTAGCTCTGTGGATCCGAAGACTGGCTGGGGCCTCCGAAAGTCCGCGGAAAAGGGCCTGCACGTGGAGCACATTGGAGACAGACAGCCCCGAGTCTGCGACCATGACTCCCCCGCGTAGAGGGGCGGCCGTGGCCCGAGCCCCAAGCGGGGGCAAGGTGCATGCGAGCGAAAGGGGCTGGGCGGAACGAGAAAGCATTTTCTTTTGGGGACTGGCCATTCAGGTGGAGATGCCTCAGGGTTCGAAGGGGAGGTGCATCCTGGTCGAGAATCAGTTCGGGGCTTTCTCGAGACAGCTTTCGTTGACGGGAATCCTGTTGAAGGAGCCCACGGTCTCATAAGTCAGGGGGGGTCAGCGCGCGCTCGGTTTTGAACGTCGGGCCGAGGTTTGGCGAAGAAGCCCGCTCTGTTCATCTCTAACTGCCCTTCCTTGCTGAAGTCCTGCAGTCGAATCTGCCCGGGCGACCGCTGCCGCTCCGCGCTGTCCGGCGGCGCCAGGACTTCCGCTGCTGAGCGATTTCCTTTAGGCCTGGTGGGCGTCCTGTCTGAGGGCGTCGAGCAGGCCGCCCGAAACGGTTTGGGGGGCTTTTCCTTTCCCTCGGCGGCTGTCCTGCGGCAGACCCGGGGGCCGCATGGGAAGGGGGGGGCGCCCCCGAAGAAGAAGAACCCGAGACGAGGGGCCTTAGGGGGCCGAAAACAATTCGCAAATTCCCCCCTCGATGTCCAAGGAACTGCATGACGAACTCCACAAGCTCCATGTCAACTTGCGGCATCCAAGAGATAACGCCCCCTTCGAACGCTGAGGGCCGGGAAGGCCAGGAGAGAGGTCATCCAGCGGGTCTCCCAGCGCGTTAATTGTCCCAGCTGCGACGGCGCCACGCGCCCAGGCTGGCGCAGGCGAGCCCATCTTCCCCGGGCCTATTGTTTCAATGAGCTGGTCGCGGCTGATCTTTCCTACACTCAGGCTCTGGGAGAGACCCACCCCGTCTGAATCTCATTGATCAC